GACGGACCCCGGGCCATCTCCCTCAGCCGCAGTGGCGGCGACCGCAGCATACTCAATGCCGATCTCCCAACTGTTGTTCACAGACCCACTTCTGGCTCTGGTCTTGACGCCGCTCCATTTAGCTTCAGTCACCGCCAGATCTTGGAGAGGCACGGGATCGGCGGTCAGCCGGAGAATAGGATCCAAAGTCCTCCTTTTCCCCCACCTGGGCGAAGATCACCTCCGGGCAGTGCGTCCGGGCGAGCGAAAGCGACAAGAAAATCCGAACCGGAGGAACCTGACGTGATCCCGTATTCCACGGAACGGAGAGATTACACCGTGATCCATGTGCCCGAGCGCACTAGGGAAGACTACGTTCCCGAAGATAGAAAATCCAGGAAATCCCAGTCCCAGGGCCAGCGCCATCCGAGTCCCGCGTCGCGTCCCCTAGAATACGCGCCTGTGGCTGGCCCCAGTCGCCGCCCAGAGCAGCACCAAGACACGCGCCAGCACGGCCCGCCTCAGCGACGCCCGCAGCCTCCGCCGCCCCAGCCACCGACACGCCAACCCAAGGAAGAAGATGCGCACGAATGGCTTTTGGAGCACTTTGCTGATCCCTCACCCGATGCACGATCGAGACAGAGACCCGAGCCACCATCGACCCCTTCTCCTTTGCCCGCGATGTCCCACGTGTTCACGAGCCAAAACCCAGTTCACCCAAAGCGAGTCACGACGCCCTTGATTCCCGCCACAATGCCCGAAGCTGCCGTCGCGCTCGAGGAGGAGCTTGCGTCCATATCCGTCCCCGCTGCGAGCAAGGTCGAAGATGTCGACATGGACGTCGACATAGCGGTGTCCGACCTCGTCAACGGCACGTTCGAGATTCGCAAGGTCGAGGACGGTGGCATGGAGGTCGACGTGGAGGACGAGCTGCTGAGCCTGGTCGACGATCGCCCGCGGTCAAGGTCCATCACCCAGCCGCCACCTGTCATCAGTCGCGTATCGTCAGGTGGCAGCAGCAAACCTGCGGTGCGACTCGCCGAGTCTGGCTCGCGCCATGCCTCGCCAATGGCAGCTTCGTCTCCCTCGTCCTTCTTCTCCCCCGGCGCACGAGCCTCGTCCATGCTCCCTCCCTCCGAGCGCGGATCGATGCCCCCGCCCGCGTCGACCGCCACGGGCCAAAGCAAGAGTAAAGAGTCGAGTGCGACACCAGCGCCGAAAAAGAAGAAGGAGGCCGCCAAGGTGCGCATGATGGTCCATCCACACAAGTTCACACAACTCACATTGTTCTCAGCCTGCTCCAAAGGCTGCTGCAGCCAAACCGCGCGCAAGGCCGGCGCCAAAACCCAAGGGCAAGGCTTCGGATGTGCCCGCCGGCACCGGCCCTCCAGCAAAAGTCAAAGCACCCTCCGCCATCTCCCGGAAAAGTGGCTCGGCCGCCGCCTCGGCGTCCCGCTCTCGCTCCACCTCCGTCATGCACGGGGGCTCAGTTGGTCCAGACAGCTCCGAGAAGCACGAAGACGAGGAAGAGGACGCGCTCGTAGCCGCCGCCGCCGAGGACGACAAGTTGTATTGCGTTTGCAAGACCAAGTACGATGAGGACCGGTTCATGATTGCTTGCGACAAGTGCGTGGCTTGCGTTTCTCTACCTCACTGCCGCTCATCATACATCCTGCAGGTGCGACGAGTGGTACCACACACAATGCGTCGACATGCCCGATCTCGTTGTGGATCTAGTCGATCAGTTTTTCTGCCCGCTTTGCATTGAAAGTGCGCCTATTTTTTTTGTCAACTTGACTACTCCTTTACCGTCGAGCAGAAAATCCAAATCTTTCGCTCAAGACTACATACAAACCGCGCTGCCGCTACGGCCTCGATCATCCCGAACCCGACTCACCCAAGGCCTGCCACAAGCCCGCGCAGGGTGCATTCTCAAAGTACTGCTCCCCGGAGTGCGGGTTGAACAACATCAAGAAGCGCATCGAGACGTTCACGAAGAATGGGGGCAAGAAGGAGCTGCTCTGGGACAGCGTCAAGGACGCACAGAAGCGCGAGGCGGTCGTGATCGTCCATGGGGAAACCGCTCTCGAGGGCACCGACGGCTGTACGAAGGAGAACTCGGACGCCGCTCCGCCGCCCATCCTCAGTGCGCGGGTGAAGCCGGCAAGCATGGGCAAGGTGGAGCGCGAGGTGGCGAACCTGAACGCGGTGCTGGACGAGGTCGTCACGCTGCGCGAGGACCTGAAGGAGGGGATGGAGATTGTGTTCTGGCGCGAGCGGCTGCTCGAGCTCGCGAACGAGCGTGCAGAGCAGGTTGGCCAGTGCGGGTGGGATCAGCGGCTTTGTTTTGGCGAGGACGAGTGGGCCGATTTCGGCGCGGGCGTTTTGGAGAGCTACGAAGAGAAGGAGGGCGGGATGCAGGTTGACGGGGAGGAGTGGTGGTGTCTTGAGGGCGAACAATGCGAACGCCACGCTGGGTACGCGGATCTATCCCTTTTTATGAGGCTCCATTGCTCACGCCATCCTCTAGGTGGCAGACGATACGGGCCAAGGATGTTGCCAAGGAGCGGGATAAGAAAGAGGAGGCTCTGTTCAGGCTCACCACGAGAGAACGCGAACTCCGAAAACGCATCGAGGACATTGTCGAACCTTTCAACCGCTCCTGCATAGACCCTTCGAGCGCCGCCCCCCTCAAGTCGTCCAAGCTCGTCAATGGCAACGCCAAAGGCAAAGCAAATGGGGACAAGAAGGGGAAGAAGAGGAAGAACCCGTCTTGAGCTTGAATCCACCGCTGTATTTTTATCCCTCTCGCTTCTCAGTCACTGTGCACACTTTTGCTCTCCATTGAACCTGCTTTCGAATGTATCGCATATCTTGTTTTGTAGCATTGAGCCCAATACGAAGAATATTACCATCTAAACCTTCGCACCAGATTTCTCAGTGTTACAACATACAAATTGTATCTGACCGCGATACTGCGAGGCGTAATGAATCTGCCTGTACTCGCTGCTCGACCAGCCCCCCTCGGTCACGGCATCTAGGATATTAGTATCCCTCACCTTGCCCGCCGTCATTAATATCCATCCCCTTCGCCGCCCTCCTTGCAGAAGCCCTTCTTCTCGTACAGGATCTGCGCCTTGGCTTCCTCTCGTTGCTTTTTCATCTCGACGTCGTTCTTGTGGTACGGTTCGAGCGCGGCGTAATCGACCTGTCGGCGCAGCGGTATCTCGTCCTCGAGATCGAGATCCTGGAGAAGGGAACGTTAGGGATACACAGAGGACACGGAACGGGACGTGCAATTTCGCCCAATAGCACGACATTCTCCCCACGAATGAGAAACAGCCCGTGCCAGTTCTCCGCGAACGCGTTGCCGTGGTAAATGCGCTCCACGGTGTCCTCGAGCACGAGGTTGGCTGGGGCGCGGCGATGAGGCGAAATGCAGAGACGGCACAAGGCCAAGGCGCGTACCGAACTGGTCGTAGGACCTCAGGACGCCGTGCAGTTTTCTTCCGTCGCGCAAGACCACCAGCATCTTCCCTAGTCAAGGGGCACCGGAAGGAAGAGGTGGTGGGAAAGCTCAGGACAGAGAAGGTGTAGTTGACTTGGCAGACGTACTGTCCACACAATCCACCAGCGACCCCGACGTTGTAAAGGGTATTAACGAGTCCATGGCTGGTAGTGGACAAATCCAAATCGGGATTGTATTGCGAAGTTGATGTTTGCCGCTTGCTCTGCGCCTCCATGTCGGATCCTTACATCGTACAATGCTTATTGGAACTCTCACATCTTGAAGCTGGGCTGGATCGTTCTGCGCACAGGCATCAAGCTGGGCTGGATCGTTTCACAGGCAATCCCGGTTCAATCTCTCTACCAGGGCCGCTTGGTAAAGATAGTGCCGCATATCTTGTCCCTCAAATTTCTTCATGTACGTTGCCTGGTCTCCGCTCATGGTAGGGCCCAGAGAGCGGTGCTCTTGCATATTTTCATCATTTCACTATACTTCACCATTCCAAAATCTTCGCCGTTGAAAGACTGACTATGCCCGGCCTGGCCGACTGGTGCAAAGTACTGATACTATATATGACTTTGCAGTGCAAAATGTTGCTCGCTTGGGCTCAATTCTTGGCCGTTTGCCTTCGGACGAAAATTCCAGGATCGAGCGTTCCGCGGTCCGGGCCTTCGTCAGATCCGGCGCGTCCCTATGCTGTGTATGTGAAAGATCGTAAGGAGCTTACGCATTAAGTTTTTGTCCTTACTTATCTCAATGTCAAGTCCTTCCCTCCCTTTCCTCAGATAATATGCATCTACTGGATAAATCGTATCTCTTGGAGTTAGTTGCTGTCCTTTTGTCACACATCGACACTTTAGGAGGCGGACTGTATCTCAGATCGTCTGACGCGTGTGGATTTATCTGCTCGTGTCGAGCCTCCTGATGTGGTTCTGTCAAGTCAGCGTTTCTTGGCTTGGTATTGTAGCTGCCTTGTGGCTAATATTCTTCCAGATGTGCATCGTGTTTCCCTGGAACTTGTTGCCTCTTGTCAATTTCGGCTTGTCGTCTCTGACAAGGTCACAAAACTTTGACTGGCTTCCCCACCTTCTGAAGATGCCGCGCTGCCTCCACATGCGGATCTTCTTCTCTGTGGTATGTTCGCCGATGCAGACGATATATTTGCTACGTTGGTTGGTTCGTTGGATCAGCTGCTTGCGCCTTACAAGGATGTTGCTGTGCGTACCTGTATGTTTTCATGTTTTCACGTCCTCATTCTGAGGCTTGTGCTAGAACGCTGGTCATGAGTCGTAGCGGATTTGATTAACAGAATACATGATTTACTGTTTTCCTACATGTCGAAATGCTCAGTTTTTTTTTTGGATGGGGGGTACTACCGCCCATGTCCGAATTGCAAAAGTGGCCCTGTCATCCTTCCCGTGGATCCACGGGAAGGATCATTATTGTCGATCTCTACAGTGTCATGTTTTTTCGCTTATTTTTTTTGCCGTTACAGAGGAATGGTAAAAAGCCTCGACGCCAGCAAGGTTCGAACTTGCGCGTGCATAGCACAACAGATAGGTTTGTAATATTCAAATCTGTCACCTTAGACCACTCGGTCATGGCGCCCGGGATGGTGCCGCAAAGCCCATCCCCGTGCCTGAGTCGCTTCCGAGTCTTTAGTTCCAGAAGTTAATAGTAACTCTTCGTCAGATACGGGAAGGACGCTACGAATCAGAGGGAGATCTACGATCCCTTGGTTCGGCGGAAGGTAAGTCAGACTTTGTCCTGGGCGACTGGGGATTTTTGGGGCAGCCTGAAAAGACCCCAGTCGAGAGCGGGCACGGCCGAACCTGTACACAAGGGACCAAGGCATTGAAGGCAATACCAGCACAAGATGAACGATGCGGCATAGATGATACAATTTATATGATTCCTGGGACCAATGATGGTGCTAGCACACGCGAGCGTGCCAGCTGCGACCAAGAGGCGAGTATGTACTACGTACTCAGGCCAAATTGTGGGCGTGGATTGTGGGACGCGACAATGGTCAAGCAGCCGTAGTCTGATGGAAAAGGCCTTTCCCAGACGTGCTTCTTGGCGCTGTCGAAAATATAGCCCTCATGGAATTTCGTGTGCAAGGTTCCGACGTGAAATGAAAAGTTCTTCTAGGTTCCGAAGATGGTGGGACTTCCCTGGAGACTGAGGACTGCTTGTGGGATAGGAACGAGTCCGGGCGAGCGTGCGAAGTTGACGCACGGGCCCAGCGGCGAGGACGCTGTGGATGAGGAACCGGGGTCAAATGCCCGAACAGGAAACGAGAGTGCACGAGGAGGAGCCATCGAAACGGAGGGGCGGCTGGGGTCCGGACCGTGCAACGCAAGGGAAGTGCGAAGGACGCAGGACAGTGGACGCGGAAAGCGGGAGCAGCGAGTGAGTCAGCGTGTCGCGGAGGGTGGGCGTGTGCGCCCGCGGGGCATGCCGCGACACTGTCGAACTCGTTGATAAACACGTCGTTGAGTCCGGCGGGGGTCGCGAATCGCCGAACGAGGCGGTCGCGGTCGAGGATGTGAGCTTCCCGCACCGCGTGAGGCAGCATCGGCGAGGCTGAGGGCGGAGGGCACGTAGACGAGCTCAGGGTGATGAGCAAGCTTGCCGAGATCGCAAAGATTCGGCGCGGGTCATTCGAGAGACAACGTCGGGCGAGGTGGTTGCCAGGTGACTAAGAGACCCATGAATCTCCTGGAGGTCGAGGAGCGAGGAACAGGCTGTGGACCTGCGCGGCATCCCATCGAGCATGCGCCGAACGCGCTCAAGGTGTTTGAGGTGCTTCTCCGCAAGGAGTGAGACGCGACGCTCCGTCACGTCCCAGAGGAGGCCGAGGCAGACGATCGTCACAGGACTCGGTCCCGGTCTTCGTTAAAGAGGGTCAATCGGCGCGAGAACGGAGGCGCGATCGAGACGGTAGAGGTGATCCTCGCTGGAAGCGGGGCCGAGGGCGTCGGGGAGGCGGACGACGGGCAGGTCGTCCTCGTACTTGAGGATCTTGACGTGGTCCGCGAGCTCCGCCTGATGTCAACGAGTGCTTTGGAGATCAGGCCGGTGTTACTGTAACAGAGGCGCCACCGAATGGGAAACAATCCCGTCGAAATGGGGGACGAGAAATGGCTTGTGGTCGCCAGAGAGGGGACACGTCCTATGGAACGACTTGAGGTCGAACACAATCGGGAGGCAAGATTAACCGAATCTCAGGAAATTGCGAGTTGCAGATACACTCTAAAGACCGACATTGAAACGGATAAAATGAGCACTCACCAACTGTGCCATCCTTGCGGAATATCAAAGCGCGTAGGGAAATCGCCCTTGTTGATGAACTTGTGGAAGGGTCTGAGGTCGAAAGCGCAGGCTTGGCCGCCGACAGCGCAGTCGCAACCTGAGGAGGAAGAGGGGTCAGCGTCGAGCTTCGTCGAAGCGTGAGAGGGGATGGAGGGGAGGGAGGAAAGGACGCGCAAGAAGCGTCGCCCGAGGCAGGGCAGAAGGAGGGAGGAGGCGGCCGACACGACCGAGAGGAGAGGGGAGGAGAGGGAGGCTCAACGGCGGAGCATGCGAGCGTCGCGGCGCTAAGATAGACGCAGTCGCACAACGATGAAGGGAGGAAGGGAGGGGAGACGCTGCGGGGAATACATCCGAGCGCGTAGGTACGAGGAAAAAAGAAAAGCGCGAGTGCACCCCAGGAAGAAATGGGGAACAGGGAAGAAAAGAGGCCCACATGAAAACAAGGAAAGAAAGAAAAGAAAACCTTCCCAGTAGTTCAAGGAGAGGACCTCAGCCGTGCAGGTCGAGAAACAGTGCGGACGACTCGCGATCACAAGTAGGCCTCTCCCAGCTCCGAATGGCGAGACTGCATCGCCGAGTCGGGGCCTTGAATGCGGCTTGCAGAGTGTGAGCGAGACGCGTCATCGCGTGAACGAAATGCGTCGTCGCAAAAGTATAACAACACCACTCAAAGCAGACCTGGTCCGGTGCCCGAGTGGCGAGAATGCGTTGCCGAGTGGAGGACCAGAGGACGGGTCGTTGTGCAGCAGAGAACATGAAAGAAAAAAAGGATGTGGAAAGGAAGAACACAAAGCATCTCGAAACGAGGATTGGGCAAAAACCATCGAGGAAGCAGTCGCGCAAGAGAAAGGAGGCACGGTGACGACAATATGAGGCGGAAGCTGAGGGCGCGATCGCAGAAGAAAGAACACGACGCCGTTATGACAGTGCGCATGTTGATGCGCTGCGCGCAGGAAACACCGTCGCACAAGAGGGCAAAGCGGAAACGACGCGGGCGCCCAGAAAGCGCGGGAAGAGGGAAAGAAACGATCAAAAAGGCGGCCAGACAGAATCTGGCATGAGGTCGAGGAAAGACTCGGAGAAAATGAGCCAGCCCGGCTCAATCGAAAGACGCGTGTACAGCGGTGACAGTATAGAGGAGGAGGGTACTGCCACTTCAGCTGCAGGGTGTTGAAGCGACAGCTCAGAGGATAAGCCTTGACACGGCAGAGAAGAGAAGGGGGCAGAGGAAAAGTGATGTTGATAAAGGCTTACGAGGCTTTACAAAACGCGAGAAAGGCGCGAAGCCGACTTGAGCCCGAGGTAGTGGACGTGGTGAAGTGTCTTGAGCCCCGCGCAGGCGACATTGGCGGGAGAGGCGAAACGAGTCCGGAACGCAAGGTGGAATCTCCAGGCATAGTCGCCAATGTCAGACGCCGAGAAAAAAGCGCAGGCAGAGAGAGAAACGCGTGAAGAGGGCGAGAGAGACGCGAGCGGATGCTTTCCTGCTCGGGCGCTAGCAAAGAGGCGGGAGATCGGAATCGTGAGAATATGATCAAAGCCGGCTTTGCCGGCAAGGGGGCGATCCCTCGGCCTGGCTGCTCGCAAGCTCGCCTGCCTGAGCTCGCAATACTGTACATACATCTTCCTGATCATGAATTGTAGACGACGTATTCAAGTGACAGAATCACATCATCACAGTCTGCCATTGTGTATAGCAATTCTCAGCCGGCACATGCTTGCCAGGACTGCAAGAGGCAAGGCGTCTTTGAGGGGCAAAGCTTGGGCCTCGGAGGGAAGCTCTGGTGACAGGTATGTTGAGCTTGGGGTCGGGATGTCGCGTCAAGAGATGAGGTCAATTAAACTAGCGAGGGTCGCGAGATAGAACCCAGGCTAGTGTCAATTGCATATTTTGACTGGTTCCGTACATGCAATTCGTACGCATGATGAAGTGGTCTGACTTTTGATCTACCTCCTGCGCCAAACCGCAGGGCACGAGAAGGGTATGTTCTGGGTTTCCCGAAGAAAATTTCGGTGGAGAAGGGCCTATTGGAAAATAACAATGTCTTTCCATGAGTCGTGAGTGAGCCGAGAGATACTGGACTCACCGGCAGAATATTTGGAGTTTACCAGATATATGTAGATGGCGAAGACATGTTCAAAAGTGAGAAGGGGAAGGAGCGAAGAAAGAAATAGAAGCCACGGACTCACAAGGCTCGCACGGTAACTAGCCACACAAGCCGATAGATATTTAGTAGGCTTCATGCCAGTTAAAGAGCAATGGGTACATAGCGTTCATGTCCAGTTGACATCGAACGCTGCTGAAATAACTGTCAGTTCAAGGAATGGATGAATGCGCAGAGGGGTACAATATGCGACACGCACCATTTCCCCAGAAAAGTCTTCGTCTTCGTCTCTATCGTTCCGTCGCGCCAGCCGCGGTTGTGCAACCCGCGGCATATGTCTTCGTCAGGCTCTTCTCATGTAGGTAGAGCGGCGCTCATTTCTCGATTTGTTTGCCCGCCGCCGTTATTTTGGAGTTCCAGATTGTGCGACTGCGTGGGAGTCAAATGCTTGTCTTGTCCCGTCCCACCACTGGCCGCTCCACATTCCATCCCTCCAGCAGGATTGACGAGCAGCAAGTGTCCATCAGATAACCCAGCGGATGAATAGCTTACGGCCATTTCACCAGTTGAAAGTGATAGCTTTTGTTTGCTCCTACGTTGGTGGCGCCCAGAAAGTCTTCATGCCTCGCATTCTTGGAGGCCTGTAAAGTTATTACCTGGCGCTCAGGTCGCTTTGAAAATGGCATTCATTTCAACCAAGTCAAGGACACGCGTACGGGGACGCAGTCTTGCGCACGGCTGTAGTTTACATTCGGTATCGAGCGCGACGTTATGAGATGTATTCCCACTGGCCGGGTGCTGGTTTCTCGGCGAGTGGCTCCCAGCTATCTGGAGAGTCAATATGATGTTGGAGGGAAATGGGACGCGACGCACGCCTTCCAGTCCACCATCTGTGCGGCGAGCTTCAACTCGTCCACAGCAATCAGCAACGACTCCTCGATGATGCCCTCGCCCAGACCCTTCTCTGCGGCGGCGATGTCTGCATTCGCGGCGTTTACAATCTCGAGTTTCTTTTGTATGAGGGCCTCGGTTGCTTGTCTATATACAGAAGTTTCTGGGATGTGGGCGAGTTGGGTGAGGGTGTTCTGGTACGTGGTTGTGAGGGCCGGGAGCGGGTCGGGGTGTACCGCGAGGCCGGTGAGCCCTGTGGTGGACCTCAGCGCCTGGAAGAGCGGACGCGAGAGGCGC